AATGATTCATGATTGTCTCAGCACCAAGATTTGTAGCTATGCTATGTTCTTTTAAGTTTAGGGCACGCACCCAGAACTGATATCTAACTGATTTGTGAATTAAAAGCATCTTATATGTGCATTTCAGCCAAATTTTGTTATCCAGACAGCCTCAAAGCAATGAATTGCTTTGATCGATCACTAAATATCTTGACTCGGTTCAAGCTTCAACAAGCCTAAAGATGATATGACTGGGGAATGGAGAATCCTACCTACAGCCGAAGCTGCTTACATCATATCATTTGAAATCCATAACCCATTGATTCTATATTGGTAGTCTAAACTCCATGGAAATTCCTTCGGAAGATAACTAATACACGATCCAAGTGATACATGGATATGTTATTTTGCTTTTAAAGATGAAAAACTCATTACATCATACAAAAAATTAATGTGAAGTCTTATCCGCCCCGATTAAATCAACGTTAATTGAATCCCTATAAAAATACAAAAATGGCAACATTTTTCAGGCCTTAAATGTCATAATAGTATCCCAAATGCCTTTGATTTATTATTGTTTTTTTCAATAACAACAGAGAGACGAGTATTGTGTAGGAATGTTTTGATTGTCTGCGGTAGGCGGCCGCTCTCAAGATCTAATAATGAACAAGAGATGTCTTTGCATCCCAATTCTCCTCAAACAAGTTCCGTGCTATGACTATCATACTAGTTTTAAAACTCACGGTATCTACGCTGCGGTGTATTTCAAGTGTTTTTTTTAAATAAAATAAAATAAAATTATAGTAGAAGCGTATAACAATATCATAAATGTGTTTTATTATATTATATTTTCTTAATTAAAAAAATGTGAATTCATTACTTATATTTAATAAAATAAATTTAAAAATAATTGAATTAATCAATCGTGAAATAGTTGTTAATATTATTTATATAAATATATAAATGTTTAATATCCACTTTTCTTTTGAGTTCATGTGCTTTTTTTTTTAAATTTAATCTTAGAGGTTATTATTCCAAATATTTTTTTTAAAAAAATATATAATAAAAATAAAATTTATTTATATCAAATGTAAAAAATATAAATTAGATCTCTTTGAAATATTATAAAATAAAAAATAAATTAAAAAATAACAACTATTTAAAAAAATGAACAAAAAAACTTACAAAATATCAATTTAAATTAAAAAAATTAATGTAAACTAAAAAATACATAAAAAAGGGAGTATATTAATATTTTTAAAAATAATAAAAAATGGAGAGAGAAACCAAGAGATATTAGGTAGAGGTGAGCAAAAAAACCGATAAAACAAGAAACAAATAACCAAAAAACTGAACAAAAAAATAAATTAACCGATTAAAAAATCATAAAAATATCTGGTTCAGTTCAGTTTCAGTTTCTAAAATTTGAAACCGATTGAACCAAACCGAACCAATTTAACCAGTTAGCACTTAAAAAAAAACAACTATAAATAGAATATTTTCTAATCTTGAAGTAATATTCAGCCATCAACCATCCTCTTCATTCTCTACATATCTTTTCTTTTACTTGTAATTTACTCTCTGATTTTTCTCCTCTTCTCCCTTTACTCTTTGCTCTATTATAGATTTGATTTCTTTGGGTTTTCTTTGGATTTTAGTTCTCCTGTTGACTCTGTGGTTGGTTTTACTAATAGCCAAAGTAAAGGACTATAAGGTTCACCAAAAAAGCCCCCTCTGATCTCTATCTCATTGAAAAATCCCATCTTTGATGTTAGTCTTTACCAACAACAGTAATCCCTAGCTTACTAGAAGTTGCAAGCATCTCTATCTTATTGAAAAATTGTACCTTCACTTGTTTCTTTTTAGAGATAGAAGAGAGACTTCTCTTTTTGCTGATTACTAATTAAGACCTATGTTTTGTTTGTTTTTTATTCAAATTTCAGCATCTAAAACAACAAGTGATGCAGCAATAAGGTGTTTGGGGAGGACAAAACAATATTTTAGGAACTAGAAAATTGTTTCCTTAAAAGCCATATCAGACCTAGCCAGTGTTGGTAGAGAACCAATAGGTTTGAACCAGTTTTTAGTTTGGTTCAATTTAAAAAATTAAAAAAAAAATTGATTTGGTTGTTTATTTTAATTCAAAATCAGATCAAACCGGAAAATATTTAACCCTAATATTAGGTGTGACTAGTTATGTTTGTGCATGATGAGCTTTTATATATATATCCTTAATATCCATCCTTTTTGAAAATAAAAAAAATTAATGTGGACAATTTTTCATCTACCATTCCAATTTTTAAACAATTGGGGGTGACTAGAAAATTAGGTTAATGTATTTTTAGATTTAAAATTCTATTTGTTAATTTATTTTGACATAAAACACTTAAGAAACACCATAGAAACCTAAAAAAAAAAAACCAATATTTTAACACAAAACACTTATAAATTGTTTTAAAAATACAAAATTAAATTAAAAAAATTCTTTCTCAAACTCGATTTATGTTTTCAATGAAGATGAACGATTTATGTTTTCAATGAAGATGAAGGCAAAAACCAACTACCACCAACTTTGTTTTATTGAATGAAACCTTAGACATCAATGTTGACTATTTTGGTTGTTAAAACCATAATAATGTTTAATTTTTTTTTATTTTTTTAGTGAATTTATCTCTTTTCTCTCAAATTTAGGGATTGAAAAATTAAAAAAATAAATTTTGATATTAAAATAAAAATTATCAAGAATTTGGAATTAACATTGCTTTTTTCTTCATGTTTTATATGTCAGTCCTTTATATTTAATTTGATATATTTATTTTAATTTCAAATCTAATTTTATTTAATTTGACTACAAAAAAAATCCAATTTTAAAAAAATAATTCTTCACCATAAGAAGGCCCAGTTCTTTTATTATATTACATATATAATATAATATGACATGCCCCCAGTGAAACTTTTTTTCCTTGCAAAGAGTGGCAAAATTTATACGAACCATCTAAAAGTGGAAAACATCTAAAAGTGGAAAAGAATCATGTGTTTCTGATAACAAGAGCTATTAAGGCTACCAATGATGAATCTTCTTCTCTCTCAAATGGAATGCCATTGTTTTTATCCATTTGTATATAATGTGGCTTTTTTATATATATATATATATGAATTTGTTCTCTCTCAAATGGGATGCCATTGTTTCTATCCCTTTGTAAATAAAATGGGATGCCATTGTTTACAAAGGGATAAAAACAATGGCAACCCATTTGAGAGAGAACAAATTCATATATATATATATATATATATATAAAATTTCGGTACCATAAAAATTAAAAGAAGAGTGGTTTTCTAATCGTCTGCCCATTTTCTCCCATGCTCACATGCTATGATTAACTATTTGTTCGTTTTTATCCTTTATGTTCACATGATTCCACTGATGAAAATGAAAACAAAAACAAACAAACAAACAAACCGAAGTATAAAAAACTATAATGTGTCCTGTACGGATGATACTATGTGGTCTCAAAACAATGTTTTGTCATGATTTAGGAAGTGTTTTTTTTTTTAAAAATTTAATTTGAATAATAATTCAATGTTTCTATACAAATAACTAGAACAAACTTAATTTACATGACTTGTTGGCGGAGGATTTCTTGAACTTAAATATTTAAATATGGCATCTGTCCTTTTTAATTGTTTATTATGTTCTTTGACCAATTTGTACAAAGACTCTATGATCTGTTTATATATATATATATATATAATGCATTTAATGGAATAAAATCCTGTAAATGTTGATCCTATAATAAAGAAGGAAATAAATCTTCGTTGCCATCAACCTACCTCTTGAAATTATAATCAACAAGCAAGAAAGGGAGAAAAGGCTCATTTGGTATGGTTTTCTTTTCTAAAAAAACTGTTTTCTAATTTATGTTATAAGTTTATTTAGAAATATATTAGTGATTATTTTTTAAAATATTTTTATTTAAAAATATATTTCAAGTTTTTATAAAACTATATTTTAAAAGACGTTTAAATATAACATGATTTAGGAAGTGTTTTTTTTTTTAAAAATTTAATTTGAATAATAATTCAATGTTTCTATACAAATAACTAGAACAAACTTAATTTACATGACTTGTTGGCGGAGGATTTCTTGAACTTAAATATTTAAATATGGCATCTGTCCTTTTTAATTGTTTATTATGTTCTTTGACCAATTTGTACAAAGACTCCATGATCTGTTTATATATATATATATATACAATAAATTTAATGGAATAAAATCCTGTAAATGTTGATCCTATAATAAAGAAGGAAATAAATCTTCGTTGCCATCAACCTACCTCTTGAAATTATAATCAACAAGCAAGAAAGGGAGAAAAGGCTCATTTGGTATGGTTGATGTTTAGTTTCTAAAAAACGTTTTTCTAATTTATTTATAAGTTTATTTAGAAATGTATTAATGATTATTTTTTAAAATATTTTTTATTTAAAAATATATTTCAAGTTTTTGTGAAACTATATTTTAAAAGATGTCTAAATAAATTCAGTTTCAGCATTTTTTAATCTTTTTAATTGTTAATTTTTCTACCATGTTATTTATTTTTGTGCTTTTAAAATCTTATATCAAGATTTTGAAAATAAAAATAAATAAAATAAAATAGACCCAGACATTGAAATTTTTAATTTTTATTTCAGTCCTAAATTATTTCATACTCGTAACTTATTTTTCAAAAGCAATCCAAACTCCTTAAAGAAATGAAAATAGAAAGACGTGGATTTTTTCAAGGTTTGGGTTGTTTAGAAATATGATTTAACTTGCATTTTTAATTTTTTTAATATTTTAAAATTATTTTAATATGCTAATCTCAAAAATAAATTTTTTAAAATAAAAAACTTATTTTAATATATTTTTAAATTAAAAATACTTTAAACTACAATCACACTATAATTCTAAATAAAATTTATAATTGTGAGAGGAGTAATTTTCTCTTAGATCTATTCATAGACTGAAAAAAGGAAAAGAAACGCAAGAAGAAACCCAACTCTCTGGACGCTGAAAAAGGAGAGAAGAAAAACACACACAGAGAGAGAAGAAAAGAAACAATTAACAAAGCAGAATCCCTTCTTAAGGTGTTGACTTGCATACAAGCCCTGACCACTAGCACCTATATAAAAGAAAGGAATACTGTCATCGCCTTCTACAGCCATCTCATATCACAAACGCCCTTTGCTCTGGAGGAATGATGCACTTTTGGTGATCTCGCGCAGAGGCTTGTCCGTGTACCTGATCAAATTATACACCCATGCACCAGCCTGAGCTCCAAGGATGGGTGACACTACGTAAATCCATAAGCCTCTGTATTCGTGTGAGACCATTGCAGGTCCCAAGCTCCTTGCAGGATTCATCGACGCCCCTGATATTGGCCTGCCGAACAAACATGAGACGACTTAGACAGTGAATCCTGTCAAGTATTCTAAGTAGAGAGGAATGGCCTGGGATAAATTACCCTGCGAACATCACGTTGAGCAGCACGGTGGAACCAACAGCAAGTCCAGCAAGCTCACCAATCTGCATAGCACAACAGAACATATGTTTATCACCTGGATTATAATTAATGATTAGGATGAGGATAGGAACTTACAGCTCTGTTATCGGTGGCGACACCGGATATGATGAACATGAGGTAGAATGTGATTATAAACTCAACAACAAAGGACTGCAGATCGGATCCTGCCGGCATTGTTCCTGTGAAGTGATCTTGCTTGCCCTGAAAAATTAATCGGATTGTTCCGGCTGCTAGAGTTGACCCAATGACTTGACATGATATGTAAGCCGGCACCTTTAGAAAACAAAACACAACCACAATCATCCATCTGAATACTCAATCTATTTATTATTTATTAAACTAAAATAATAATCATCTCTGTATAACCAACAATTCAACAGCCTAATAATCATCTGGGACAAAACCTGGATATGGGGACAACTAGTACCTTCTGGTACACTTGTCATTCTAGGTAGCCAACACTACCAAAACAGAGTTGTTTTTTAAAAGGGACATGAAGGAAGGAAGGAAGGGAGAAAAAAAACCATTGTTGATGTCAAAACTTTCCAGCACCTCGAGGTTTGTTATGGGTAGAGGGTAACTAATTCTCAACTGGGTAGATATCACAGTTTTACCTGTTTCCATGGAAATCTCTTGCAAGTGGCAAAGGCAAGGGTGACAGCAGGGTTGAAATGGGCACCAGAGATATGACCAAGAGAGTAAACCAAGACCATCACAGCCAATCCCCAAACTATTGATATTCCTGGAAGTGTCACAACCTTCTCAAAGTTCAAATTCACGGCCACCGATGAGCAACCGGCAAATATCAAGAAGTATGTGCCGACTATCTCAGCTACCAACTGCACATGCCAAGCCATCAAAATCAAAGGCAATAAAAAAAAACATTTAATAATAATCAGTTGTCTGATAAATTCCTAGACATCATGATGATCTCTCCATACAGAAGTGGATGCCAAGAACTTATTCTTGATTTAGGCCAAATAGGAATAGCAATTGGATGGCAGAAAGTTCTTCGTATACGCAATTGGTAGGTAATCTTGAAAATCAAATTATAATAGGAAACGGGTATCAGAGAAAGAACATTTTGATTCAGGAGTTGATCATGTGAAAAGGAGAAAACACAGGAACTGAGAGAAGGAATCCAGATGTTATCAAGAACACACACCTTTTGCATGAACGGCACAGAGAAATACAAGTCGGAATTTTCCTTGGTTAAGTTGGAGCTGGATGGAGGATGATCATCTTTAATATCCAAAACAACCCCCCCATGGTTGCCATTGCTACTAGTCCCGTCGATATCAGCCATAACTAACCAAGAATGAAGGGGGAACAAGGAAAAGAACAAGCAAATGATATAAGAAGTGACAAAGATGTTCAAGGAAATCTTGTCCTTGTTGTGGCTTTGTTCTTTGCCTATGGAGTGTCTATATGGCAAGAACAAGCCATAATTCTGAAATTCTCAATTTATCATGGGGGGTTTATATAGATCCAAAAGGAAGGGAGAGAGAAGATTGTTGTATGGGGGTGGACGTTGAAAAATGTGACATTGACATCCGGGTTTTGTGAGCTGGAAGCAGATTCAACTACCCTGGCACGAATTTACAAATTCTTATCAGGCTAGGCTATATTTATCAAGTTCAATTAATTTGTGCTCATCCAATCCAAATTTTATCCGTTTTCATGACCTGGAAGGGCTATTTATAGAGGCCAGTATCACTGCGAAAACAGTAAAATTCCAAGGACAGGCAATTCTTTTCAAGCCTAGTCCACTACCATGACCAATAACGGCGTACAAGAGATGCTGTTTTTAGCATAAATAATGTTTTCAGTGTTTGTAGCTCTGCATCTTAAGTCTCACATGTGCTGAAAATGACACCCAGAATAAGTGGTTTGGTTATGGAATATCTCGGTCCTAATTCCATGGCATTTCTCATGGATTTGCTCGAAAAATATGTGAGAGAAAATTGTGTAATTTAGATATAGGATTGCTTTTCTTTGAATCATATCCAACACGGATTTCTTGCATCTCACATTATCAGGCCATTGCTGCATAATCAAGTATCATCAGTAATTTGCATTTTCTAGCTAATGATTTCCTTGCATGAGTAAAGACCATTTACAAGTAGTACTCCCTTGTAATCCCTTGCTAATAATTGTCCTAATGATTTTTACACAGATTTTTAGGAATTAAAAAAATCTAATTAAGAGTGCTTGTTATAAGAATATTATACCACTTTTATCCCTTACCATGAATTTATATAGTTAAAAGCTAATTATGATATTGCTATGCACAAGCTGTTTGTGTCATTTACCCGGACGGTGATAATTTTCATGTATTGATTTTTTTTAAAATTTTTCATTTTATCCATGTTTTTACACTTATTTACTGGGAATTTTCACTCCTAATAATAAATTATTTCCTTTTAGTTCATTAATTTTGATTTGAAATAGGCTACTTCATACAAGATTTACATGGCCTTTAAAGACATAATTATAGAAAAGTAATTGAATACCAGGAAGAAAACTACTTTAATTTCGACTTAATACATGTTTATTTTTTACTTTATTTGTCGTTGATCAAATATTCATTTGTACTATTTCTCCATACACACATATTTTTGTGTGTGTTTTGTATATAATACATGCCCTAATCATTATAATATTTATCTTTTTATGATATTCATCACAACTCTTTATTCATTACGTCAGACCCTATGATTTTTTATACAAATCCTTATAATAATGATTAGGTACAAACCTTTTCTTCGTGATGGCATTCGTTTCTTTCTAAATCTTAATAGATCTTAATAGGCCTCTCATGATTTCTCCTCTTGTTCAATACAAGTTGATCCTACCACATAATGACATAGTCATGAATTCAATTATGAAAAACTTAACCTTATTTCTTTTGGAATAATGGTTATAGGAGAAAATTAGCTCAATCTTCTTCTCTCACTCTAAGTAAGCCTCAAGATTATTTTTCTCTTAAAAACAAGTATTTTCATCTTAATGGTGCTCAAATCTTCATCTACATCATCACAATTTTTAAAGTCATAGAAAGCATTCTTTTGAACAAATTGGCTATCACGCCTAAACCCATTACCCATGTGACCTCTATAATGCTAAAATCTATCTCCATAGCTCATGGATATATTTTCATAATCATCATCTCCTACATCTATATTATCATCAACAAAATCATTAAAATTGGTATTAACATGTCTTTCAAGCATCTTAATATGGTTAAAAGTCTGCTCAGCCTTATTTCATAATCTATCACTTTCGTTATCATGTCTCTTTATTCTATCCATACTATAGTGCATATCTCTCATCACTATAACCATCCTATCTATTTATTATATCACAACTTATAATTGAAAAGCATGATTGTTACCTTTTATCAGTGGTGTCGTATTACTTTTATTAGTCATCTTTAAATCTATGCAATTTGGTTAATGACAAGTAAAATATATCTTTACACCTTTTATGTTTCACACTATTAAGGTTTTTCACTCTAATATGCTTAGTTCATCTTTTTTCACTCATCTCACCCTCTCTCGTCTATTTCATAATTGATTTTTAGAGTCAAATTCTGATACCAATTGATGTGAACCCTATAAATATAAAGATTTTAAAATCCAAAAGCAAGATTGATACAATCTTTGGAAAGCTAAAAATCATATTTGAGATAGAACTTTAACCCAAAGATAACTCTACATCAGAGAACCAAAAGTATTGGTGTTGATTTGGACCCATTGATTATAGAGAATGAGGAACCCAAAGTATAGGAAGAACACCACAAAATCAATTATGTTTTGATAAGTTTGATTATTCTTTGTTCAACAAAGATAAAACATGTTGCATCAATAAAAAAAATGATATAATTAAAATTAAAGGCTGTCAAAATTTGCAGCTAAGAAAACCTTATTTAGTCCCAAACATGATAACCCTAATAAATCTCTTTTGAGTTGTAAACCAAAGTCCAAAAATATAATTCAACTAAAACATGCCTAAAATAAGTTCTAAATAATGATTATTGTGTTGTCATAAACCCAATTTAAAACAAAGTCCAAAACTAAAATTATTAAATCGCAAAAACTAATAAAAGAACAACAAAAACTCAAATAACAATGTAGTTCATCATAATTAAATTAAATCATCCCAAAATAATGTCATCCTTGTATAAAATCTTCTTATAGGTTAAATCAATATTCTAATAGAGATAGGATTGTGTTGCCACCATTAATATCTTGAATCAACTAGAAACCTTTTATTTTAATTGTTGAAATAATTCCACTTAAATTGCCACCTTTCACTCTTCTTGAAATAAAAGGAAATAATGCTGATTTGCCTCTCATAAATAGTCACCCATTACCTGCTTTTAGATTATAAAATCCTTACAAAACAGGAAAAAATAACAAGGAAGGTGTCCTATTAGTTATGCCTCTTCATATTTTTTTTTAGCATGACATCCTTACTAGACTTGGAAAGACAATTACTCATAATAATCTCCTTCTTATTAAAATCCTTTTTGGATGATAAAACTTTTCAAAATAAAAAGTAATCAAAAGAATAAGAATCAAAGTAGACATATGAAAAAAGAAGAAGATGAAATTGAAAAAAAAACTTAATTTTCTAAACTTCTTCAAATAAAATAAATAATATTTAAAAGAAAAAAGAAAAAATTTAAAGAAAAAATAAATTAGAGGATTGCTTTGAGAATTTACTAGGTTAAAAGTGAAATTTCTTTTTTTTTTTTAAAAATAAAAAATTCTCAACATTGAAATAAGGTTTCATTCATCGCAAGCAATAATGAAGCCACTACAATGATTCAAACATCAATTTTGATACTGGCATTTACTCACCATGCAATGTCTTTGAATGAGTTGAAAAATAATGAAGCCGCTACGACGATTCAAACATCAATTTTGATATTGACATTTATTCACCATGCAATGTAAAGAGCGAGGTCATTGTCGATATCAATTTTGCCCATTTATCAATTCTACCTTTGTCTTTCTTTCTCATTTACTTTAATGCCTTCTCCTCTTGCAGATCTCTTTAATGATTCATCAAATCCTATTTAAAATCTAATTCATTTTTTTTTCCATTCAAAGTTCAAGTTTTTTCTTCCTTCCTTGATAATTAATTAAATCAAATTAACTTGATTTCAATTTTAAAAACCATTTATTTTCATAAACAAGGTTGGATAATTTACTACTTGACTCCAAATGTTTACAAACATAAACTATATTTTTAAATAATTATTTCTTAAAAAAGTAATATTTTTTAATGTATTGGCTACAAAGTGATTATATATAAATGAACTATTATATAATTTTAATATGCTAATACACAATATAACGATAAAAGGGTTAAGTTTTAATGAAAAATAATACTAGAAATATATTTTTTTGTTCATGAATAAGTTCAAACTTGATCGAAGATTAGCAAATGAAAATTGAATAATACTTTGAAGTTCAATATAATATTATTCATACTTGAATTTATAAAAATAAACCAAATTTTCTTACATTCAGCAATTTATCCTAAATCAAAATACAAGAGAAAAACAAGTTTAATAACACTACATGCACTTAGACATGCAACGCATCTCAACTCCAAATAATTATTTTAATAAACTACATAAGATTAAATAACTTACATCATAGAACAATTTTGACCTTTGCTTAATTTTTCAGTAATATTAACAAAAAAAAATCAATATAAAATATCACAAACACCACATGGTGGGATGAAATTAAAGAAAATAATTTCACTTATCTAAATAAAAAAATTACCCTTGTTCTTTAAAAAAATATTGTCCATCATGAAAGCAGACGACTGAACAGTAATAAACAGGAAAAGACCATACTCTTTTAGCTTATTACTAATTATCTATTTTAAATATAACCATTTTATAGAAAATAAATCAAACTTTAATGTAAAAAACAACCATTGTATCTCCATAGTTTAAGACCAATAAATAGTCTATTTATTGAAATAGTGAAGGTCTAGAAAAATAAATGTATTCAATTTATCCTTTAAAATAATCACCCAACAACCTTTTTCTCTTCCAAATCATGTGAAAAATGTAAATAAATTAGGGGTGAGGGTCATATACTTAGTAAATAATAATTTTGTTCTTAAATCGAACCAAGCATGCCAAAGCTTAATAAATACTTATATTTGAGAACCAATGTATTTTATATACAAAGTAATGATACTTCATAGATTCAAGTGTCAAAGCAATTTTAAGAATCGCTTATAAATTTTAATAATTCAAATCATTCATGTAGAACAGGAATATATATGGCACAATAGCATTCACGATAAATTCAAAATTAAACACTTAAAGTTACTTTAACTATAGTAAAGACTTAAAGTTACTTTAACTATAGTAACAAAGAGTCACATTTCATCCCATGAATAGACATTAAATTCTAAATAAACATGTTAATAAGTGTTTTTGTATAATCCCTTAAAATTAGGTCCAAAACATATTCAATCATATTAATATTAAAATCAATCCACAAGTGAGTTCACATAAACAAAACTCATTCAAAACTC